TATAGGCAAGTGCTTGCCACACCAAGGAAAAGAAGAGTTACAAAAGATCATGAAAATAACAAAAATACATAAAAAGTGGCTGCACTGAGAGAGATTTCTTTTTGAATGGGAGATACTTTAGTATTTAGAAAATCAATCCTACCCTGGAATCCTGTCCCCAGTTTTTATTGCTCATGGAATATTACATTGTACCATATACGGCACAGGGTGACGAAAATTCCCCAGCTTATTTAATTGTGACTCTTCAATGAATTTGAAAGGGAATGCTTTATTTCCATTTCTTTAATTTATTACTTTTTTAGCTGATGAAGTATTTTATTTTATTAACCCTTGTATCTGAGAGCTGATGCTTAAAAAAAAAAAAGGGCCCTTGGCTGTATTGTGAAGGCCTGGAACTGAATAATGCACTTTAATAATGAGGGATAGAGCTATGGCTTTCGCTGATGGCTGTGACCGGCTTTGTGACCTGATTATGTCGTAGAGTGTCAGCAGCTGAGACACTACAAAAGCGAGCGCATCCCATCAAATCTATCTCCATTGTAATCACTCTCACTGCTGAGAGCCTTGTTAGGAGCAGAGAATCCATCAGGCCTCATTAGCACCATTTACTATCAAGAAGCTCAAAGAGCAAATGTGTGCCCTCTCATCAGAATAATGAGAACCAAAGTACATCTATTATCGAATTGGATCAACAATGCCACTCTCTCTGTTTAGTTTTGCAAACTAATTGCAGATTAAAAAGCTGTACAGATAGTTATGTATGTTAATCTCTGTGGACTGCACCCAAGGTTCTCTATATGTGGAAGGTTTTCATATCCAGGGAGTTAGGCAAATGTTCAATGTAGATTGAGTTCTTTAGATGGTATTCTTAGATGATACTGATATCATTCTTTAAATCCACTGTATAATTAACATGTTCATTATTCATGTATATTAACACTGACATTATTTTCACATTAATGTCAAAAAAGGAAAATTAGGTGGTTTTGTTCTCTCCTCATCACAACACAGTTTTCTAAAGGTATTAGATTTCACTTTTTTAACATGCTATGTTCTTCCACTCTCTGGTGTCATTTCTATTTTACAATCCCTCAGGTTGACAAAATGAGTATATTTCTTCTTAAAAAGCTCTTGCCCTTATTATAAAATGACTGAACTTCCTAAGCTACATTTCACCCTCACTTCAAACCCATGTAAACCCTGCTGAAGTCAACAGGATTGCATGAGTGTAATTGAGGGTAGAATTTGGCTGTATATTTTAGTCAAGTAGAAAACTGGGCTGGGGGTAGCCTTTGTAGTAACCATCACCATAAAGCATGCTTTCGAATCTGTAGTGATTTAAAAGCTAGGGATTCAATGGGCATTACTTCCCTCCAAAATATTAATACCAACAGCTAAAACATAAAATGTCTATGCTTTCTTCTACATGCAATAGAGTAATAAAAATATTCTATTTTTCTGCATCTGAAATAATTCCAAGTGCTAAAGTGGTGCCAGAAGCCCAGCGCTGTTGTACAAATAGACTTCTTAACTTTGAAGACAGAGTAACCTAATTTGCCTGTGAATATAGACAATTAACATAGATTTTTCCACTTACACTATAACAAACTAATCAGGTGATGTAAATTTGTTATCCAAATGATAAGATCTCTTCTGATATCTTGGTTGTGAAAAACTCAGGCTTCTCAAATGAGTAGTAGTGACATAAGAAAAGAAATCATACCATCATTTTTAAAGTCCAAAATTAAATCAATACAAATTTGCTACATAAAATGTTGTCACACTTGTATAATCTGGACACTCTGAACATAAAAATGGTTGGAGTTGAAGGTCAAGTCATATGTCACCCAAAAGGTAATTTCCCCTAGATTTGCAATAGGATCTCAGATTTGACCTATACTATGTCACTGTGTTACAAGGGATTAAGGATCACCATATATTTAGCCAACAGACAGACAATTATACAAGACCTAAATCTTAAAAAAACAAAAAAAGAAGGGTCTACAATTACTATGTTTGCACATACAAATGGTAAATCACCTGAACCTAACTTTCCAGAGATGACTAGTGATTTGTGGTTCCAAACTTGAGATTCTTTGAAGGAGCCTGATTTTCAGAGGGCAAGTGCTCAGGACTTTCTGAAAGTCAGACCCTCTTAAAGGGTCTCAGGTTGAGCACTCAAAAAAGCAGAGGTACCCAAACCCACTACTCACTTATGGATTAAGTTTTAAAAGTCAGACCCACCATTTTTGCTGCTTTGCTAGAATTGTATTAATTGGCAAGGGCAGACTCAACAGGACTCCCTCCTCGGTCTAAAATGCTATATGTCTGTTACATGGACGGATAGCTTCAGAAGCATGCTATGAGCAATAGACTATTATAGAGATGGCTGCTATAGAAAACACTTCTTATTTTTATTATTATCATGATTATTATTTATTTACATTGTGATAGTGCCTGGGAGCCCCGGCCATGAGCCAAATCCCTATTGTGCTAAGCACTCTACAGACACATAACAAAAAGACAGTCCCTGCCCCAAAAAGCTGAATAGACAGAAATACACTGTACTTTTATTTAACAATAGAGAAAAAGACTCTTTTTCTGAGCCCCCCTCTTTCTCTGAAACCTGTGGAATTATTAAATTTTACTTTACCTGTAGACTAACTAGCAGTACCCTGGCCCAATTGACTATAGTTTCATTCATTGGTATATTCATAATACTAATTCATTAAGCACCCGACTTACGTATATATTTCACTTACATGTTTTCTGGAGAGAATAAGTAAGAAAAAACTACTGAAAAACTGACATGGATGTATATCTTCAACTCTTACAATTTACATCTTAGGAGCCAAGTGTCTCTTGTGAGAGAAGGATATGCACTATTTCTGGAGCACAGATATAAAGAAGCAGGCCTTCTAGATGGAGGTGATCTGACTATGAATTATAGGTATTATAACCAACTTTTCTTCCATACCAATACCCCATGCCTCCAGAAATCTTAATAGGCTTTTGAGAGCCTCCATTTAAAGCTGGCTGCATAAAATGATCCTTTGATGAAAAGGGATTGAAACAAGGGTTAAAGTAGACATTGAAAGGTTATTGTAGAGGGCACATTGTTCATACAATCCTCCTTTAATATGTGTGGTGTGCACCTGCGATAAGATGATTCATTAGATAAGGCCTCACTTTGACAAGCTCCATCGTTCAACCCTCGGGGTAGTGATGGAACAATTCTGCACCCACCCAGTAAATATAACAAGGTCAGCATTTTTTCTGGGACTTAGATGGGGAGACTGAAGCTCAGGATGCATCTTTGTTTATGTTTTATGTAAAAAAAAAATCCCTATAAAGTTTGAGGATACCGTTTTTGTTTTGTTTTACTGATCAGAAAAAAATGTAACCTTTGTCTCTAGTAAAAAAACTCAGTGACATAAAATTATGAGGAAGAAAAGAAGAACTTACAATTTATGCTTTTTTGAATTGTAAGTCAAGAACTGTAGGATGAAACTTTATAATCACTGATATCCAGGGCTGTACCAGTCCATCAAACATCTACTGAAGTGTCTGGAATCCGCTTGAATTTTTCATTGTAGTAGTATCTCTTCTAATAACAGGTTTGGTTTTTGGTATTGAGTACCAAGTTAGCAGTAGTAATCTTAAACTATATTATTACACTTATTATAATGATTCTATTATAATACTATTTGCCGTGAAACAAATAGTCACATTACTTTTGTTACTGACAGATGAGAGGATAAAGCCAGTCAATGATCATGATTCAGGAAGGTACTTAAGAACATGAAGTCAATGAGATCACTCATGTGCTTAAAGTTAGGTGCATACCTTTCTGAACTGGGGCCATATTGCAGGACCAGAATGATATCAGCTTCAGTTAAGACAAATAAGCAACTCTGTAAATAAGCATGATATGATGAAACTTCCCTTTTAGACATCGCAAAAATGTACAAATTATTGTGTTTAAAACACAGTATTAAAAGGCTTTTAAAAGACAACAGAGCCTCTTGAATTTGCACTAATGACTGGCAAATCCATTACAGGTTGCTAAATTTTGTGCTTTAATAAACAGTGAGCAAATAATCATATTAAATCAAAGATACTGTATTACAAAATATGCTTTGTTTCAGAGTAGCAGCCGTGTTAGTCTGCATCCGCAAAAAGAACAGGAGTACTTGTGGCACCTTAGAGACTAACAAATTTATTAGAGCATAAGCTTTCATGGACTACAGCCCACTTCTTCGGATGCATATAGAGTGGAACATATATTGAGGAGATATATATACAAACATACAGAGAGCATGAACAGGTGGGAGTTGTCTTACCAACTCTGAGAGGCCAATTAAGTAAGAGAAAAAAACTTTTGAAGTGATAATCAAGACAGCCCAGTACAGACAGTTTGATAAGAAGT